AGGAGGAGGAAGAAGGAGAAAGGGAAGAAGAAGAAGGGAGAGAAAGGGCAAGGAAAGGCAACGACAAAAGAAGAGAAAGAGAAGGAAAAGAGGAGGAGGTGAAAGGGGAAGAAGAAGAAGAAGAAGAAAGAAAAAGAAGAAGGAGAAAGAACGAGAAGAGCAACGACAAAAGAAGAAGAAGAAGAGAAGGAGGAGGAGGTGGAAGAAGAAGAAGAAGAAGAAGAAGAAGAAGAAGAAGAATAGTTGATCAAAAGTAGGAAGATAGTTAAGAATAAGAAAAAGAAGATTGGAAGGGTATAAATTTTGAAGGAAAATAAATTACAGAAAACAAATAATGGAAAGGTGGTAAACAAGAATAAGAAATAAAAAATATAAAGCAAAAAAACATATATAAAAAGACGTTAAAATTTGTGTATTGGGCAAATGTAGAAATTGGATTTATAAACGAAAGCTGTTCATTATTTTTTATTTCAAGCAAAAAATATACAAATTTCCATAATGTCGAGATCGATATTCTTTCTAAATAAAATTAATGACGATTAACAATGCGGATTGTACTGTAGACAGCAAAAATTGTGGTCTGGTATTATAGACAGCAAAAAAGTGTGGTTAACGAAAAGTAAAAGAAAAGACACAGTGTTTAAAATGTTTTGACAATATTTCAATGTTTTCTTCTAGTTATGTTTAGAAATTGTACACCAGTATGAAAATTATATTAAAATGTACAAGTCTTTGTACAAATGTTTCTTGTATTGAGGGAAAAAACAATTTTACTCTCAATCAACGAGTCAAAGTGAATTAAACGCTGCCATCATTAATGGAATGCTACTGAAACGTGAATTGCATGATAGGGCTGTAGTCATTCTGAAATTTTCCGATATTTGATTAGTTAATAAGCAATTAATCAAATATTTTAGTATAAATTATATGGAACTTTCCTATCATTCTAAAAAACATATCCACAATCCACCGACATTCCCACCTTTAAAAAACAATGAAGATAATAAATATAGGTAAATTATTAACGTCTCACCTGGAAGACATGAACAAAACGGACAGGTGAGTTCGAAATGATTTATAGTAAATCTAGATATACGATAGTGAAGACTGTCTCAATAATCAAATATCTACCCCACCGAAAAGACAACAGGAAAGTAAATCAGAGGAAAAACTAAAATATATTTAAAGTGCATTAGTTTTTTTAAATCAGGCAAAATACTGTCAAAGTTTTGAGATGGCTGGTTGACACTTGATTCCTAGCAAAAAAAGATTGGTTACTGCTGGCGTAAAAGTCTGGTAAAATGCTTTATCTCCCAAACGGATGTTTTATATTCATTTAAAAAAAAAAATTAAACAGTATTTTTTAAACAATGTTTTTTTAAACCGTATAAGCTCATTTTATTCAAATATTTCTTTTTCATTATCTGTTATGACGACAAAACTCCCCCGACATTTTGAGCCGCACTCACTATTCTAGACACTTTTCGACGTTTGCCGTTTTGTTTTCATATCGACACAGTCGCCATTTATTTTTCAGCTATTGCTAGCGTTTCGCATTCTACTTACTTTCCTTCATTCTAACTTTCGCTTTACTATGACGTGTCCTTTGCAGCTCCTATTTATCATTTGATGGTAATTCTTCCATCTTTGCCTAGAATCAAAATATTTGAATGTCCACGTTCATTCAGTCCATATTTTGAAGCCTTATAACAGTCACTGGTAACAACGACTTACAAAACGAATCGCTTCTTTATACTGCCCTATTGTTTTATTCTGGCTAAGCAAAACTTCGTGATTAATATGAAACACCGACATATAACAGTCTAGGAAATCATCTGACTTCAGATATTTAACATTAAAATATTCAGGCGGAACATCGAAAATAATCTAATGTTTTGACATACATATATAGCTTACATTTGTCTTTGTTTCAGCGGTTGTGTGTTGCACTATTTACTTGCCAACCCGGGTAACCTACAGGGTCCTGCGACTGGAACTGTTTATTTAATTTGCGAGACTAGACTGTCTCTGGATATCGCATCTAGTTTATATTCCTCGGCCCGTTTACCAATTACACACCGGGGATTGAACTCACGTTTACTATGCCACGAATCAACGCTTTCATGCACTAAACTATTGTCCCGTGAGACAATTCTGTGTGGAGAAGTTAGAGCTTTAAACCTTACACATGAAGACAAAAGTCTGCCTGCAAATAAAGTAAATAATATCTCCCCATTCAAGAAATTTGAACAGAAATGATATTTTTCATATTGATTGCCAGTTTTTGACAGTTTTCTTCATTTTTAGATTATTAAATGAACGTGGTTCATATAGTCCATTTCTCATTGAATACTTCACTAATATGATCATGTACTTGTCGAAGCAAGGTTCAGTAGATGACTGTATATTTTTGGGTGCTTGTCAATGAGCAATAGTTATCAAACCAGTCTAATACGCCAGAGTTAGTTTCTTCCTCACTGTGTGTCTCACTACTGCACCAGACTAAGTCTAATAAATATGTCCTACAATTTTTGAAAAACGCTGTATTTCTTCAGGACACTGTCAATCATGACACTCCAAAGAGGTATTCTCTTCTGCGAATTGCCATCATTTCTTTGGAAAAATATTTTCCACTGCTTTCTCAACGGTTTCGAAATCAAAGTCGTCCTTCTCCTAGACTGGATAACACCCACGGCTAGAGAGTTGCTGTTATTTAACCCCAGGTTTTTGGACGTGAAGAAGGAAGCTATTCAGGTTAGGGTGGAGTTTTGAACTCGGCATTTGATTCCAGGTTTTCCGCGTCAATAACTCAACTAATAGTCCGAATATGCTGATTTAAATAAGATTCCCTCAACAACTCCAAAGTTAATGCGCAACACCAGATATAATTAAATAGCAATATCACGACTGATTAAACGGGAACCAAATTTATTTAATATATATACATATATATTATTGTTTAAAAATATGATTCCTTCGCTTCTTTTTAAAAAAAATATTATTATAATAAAGCTCTACTTCTGTATGAGCACTGTCTTCTTAAAATAAAACAAAATACTAAAGGAACCCCTGATTATACCTAACGTGTTCTTTTTTTTATTTTCTGCATACCTATATATATATATATATATATATATATATATATATATACAAATAGTGCTTGTGGTTAAAAAAGTATTGACGTAATATATATATATATACATATATATATATATATATATATATATATATATATATATATATATATATATTTGGTTGGATAGATGTGAGTTTGTGACCCTGGGTTTCACGCTTTGCGATCGTCAGACAAACTGATTAATGTTTTTAAAATTTGGGTTTATGTAGATTGCGTGTATTGGTGTTATTGTGTTATTTTTTTCAAAAATTTAAAATAAATATAAATAATAATAATCTTTACCTATCATAATTTTTAAACCCCTACACGCATATACATACATGCGAGGAAATATTTTCCAGCTGGAAAATACATATAACATGTACACATCAACAGAGACATTTCATACACACTTCCAATGTTTTAGATTTCAACATTTCAACATACAAATGCGTAATATAGATATACTTACCACCGTATACATACATGTGTCATAGCCAAAAACTTGCCCACATATGTTTATATATGTATGAGTCCCGACGGACGACCAAGTATGTATATGTGTCTGCACATCGATGTTTGCGTTAGTACGATGAATGACAAAACGACGAAATTTCCCCCCACCACTTCCACAATAACACCAATACACGCAATTTACATAAACCCAAATTTTTAAAACATTAATCAGTATGTCTGATGGTAACCAAAAGCGTGAAACCCCGGTCACAAACTCATCTATCCAACCGAATATGTTAGCTCTATCTGATATTGAGCGCTTTCTAATAAAGTACTTCATATATAATATATAAATAATTATACATATATATATTTGTTTATATTTATATACACTTTTCAATAATACACACACATATATATATATATATATATATATATATATATATATATATATATGTGTGTGTGTTTGTTTATGCCAGAATAAATTGTATATAATCATAATACTGTTGGGCTTTCAAAGAAAAGACAACCACTACTTGCAGCCGAATGTGGCAATCCTGGTCATCTGTCGTAATAAATAACATATAATAATAAAATTACAAAGTTAATTAATTTAATAGCTAAAAGATTTAGTTAATAGGATGAGCGAAGCCAAAAATATTAATATCTTAAATGCAAGTGAAAATAAAGGAGTTTTGTCTTTGGGCATTTCGTATATAGAAAAGAAAGGAAGGTAAAAAGTAATTAATCTTGGCAAGCAGAAATAGAAAAGGAAACAGGAGACAATGTGCAATGCAAATGATGCAGAGGCAATTATAACATCCAGAAATATGCGTTACTTTTTAAGTCGATTTTCTTTTATTTTTCAAATCGCTATTTTTTACATATTTAGAGTTATTTATTCTCTTTTTATTCAATCCTTTTCTTCCATTCGATTTTAACAATGTGGCTTAACCGCTGTTTTTCGTTGTCCCTACAACAGTTTTATTTTAAATCTCGCGCATTCGACTTTTTTTTTTCGAAAGAATTGTTTGTGAAACTTTAGTTTCGTGTCAGAGAAAACCAATGGCTGTGAATTCCGGTACTTAAGAAATGGTCTCAGTTGGCCTCTTTCTTTATGTCTTTTTTATTATGTAGATGTCAAGTACATTTCTTTCAGACTAGCAAAGGTAGGCTGATAGAGGGTACGTTTAAATGTAAAGCAAACGTCGGCCGATATGTTTACAGAATATCTAGTGAATGGGTTCAAATTCTTGAAGAGAAAATCAGTAAATGGGAACAAAAGGAAGACGATTGTTTGAAACATTGTGCGATTTAGAATGGCAAGTAGAAGAAGAAAAAGAGGAACAAAAGAAGAAGAATGTCAACAGGAAGAAGAGCAAGAGAAAAAGAAGAACAAGAAGAGTGAGAAGGAGGACGAGATGAAAGGCTAGAAGAAGAAGAAGAAGAAGAAGAAGAAGAAGAAGAAGAAGAAGAAGAAGAATTGCTACAGGAAGAATGCTGAGAAGAAGAACGAGAAAAAAAAAAGTAGGAGGAGACAAGAAGAGCAGGGTGAAACTAATAATAATAATAATAATAATAACAATAATAATAATAATAATAATAATAAGAAGAAGAAGAAGAAGAAAGAAAGAAGGGAAAAACGAACAGCAACGAAAAAGAAGAAGAAGAAGAAGGAGGAGGAGGTGGAGAAGAAGAAGAAGAAGAAGGAGAAAGACGAGAAGAGCAAATGACAAAAAGAAGAAGAAGAAGAGAAGGAGGAGGAGGTGGGAAGAAGAAGAAGAAGAAGAAGAAGGAAAAGACGAGAAGAGCAACGACAAAAAGAAGAAGAAGAAGAAGAAGGAGAAGGAGGAGGAGGAAGAAGAAGAAGAAGAAGAAGAAGAAGAAGAAGAAGAAGAAGAAGAAGGAGAAAGACAGGAAGAGCAACGACAAGAAGAAGAACGAGAAAAAGAGAGGGAGGAGGAGACAAAGAAGAAGAAAAGAAGGAAAAATAATAAGAATAGCAACGACAAAATAATAATAATAAGAAGAAGAAGTGGAAGAAGAAGAAGAAGAAGAAGAAGAAGAAGAAAGAAGAAGAAAAGAAGAAAGAAGAAGAAAATTGCTACAGGAAGAATGCTGAGAAGAAGAAGAGAAAAAAAAGAAGAAGGAGAAGACAAGAAGAGAAGAAGAACTAAGAATAATAAGAAAGCAGAAGAGAAAAAGAAGAAGAAGAAGAAGGAGAAAGGAGGAGAAGAGCAACGAAAAAGAAGGAAGAAAGGGACGAGAAGAGCAACGACAAAAAAGAAGAACAGAAGGAGGAGGAGGTGGAAGCAACGACAAAAAAAAAGAAGAAGAAGAAGAAGAAGAAGAAGGAGAAAGACGAGAAGAGAAAACGAGGGAAGAGCAAACAAAAAGAAGAAGAAGAAGGAGGAGGTGGAGAAGAAGAAGAAGAAGAAGAAAGAAGAATTGTTACAGGAAGAAATTGAAGAAGCAACGACAAAAGAAAGAGAAGGAGGAGACAAGTGGAGAAGAAGAAGAAAGAAGAAGAACAAGAATAATTAGGAAGAATGCTGAGAAGAAGAAGAAAAAAAAAAAAGAAGGAGGGAGAAAGACGAGAACTAATAACGACAAAAATAAGAATAATAAGAGAAGAAGAAGAAGAAGAAGAAGAAGAAGAAGAAGAAGGAGAAAGACGAGAAGAGCAACGACAAAAAGAAGAAGAAGAAGAGAAGGAGGAGGAGGTGGAGAAGAAGAAGAAGAAGAAGAAGAAGAAGAAGAAGGAGAACGACAAAAGAAGCAACGACAAAAAAAGAAGAAAGGAGAAGGGAGGAGGAGGTGGAAGAAGAAGAAGAAGAAGAAGAAGAAGAAGAAGAAGGAGGAGGAGGTGGAAAAGAAGAAGAAGAAGAGAGAAGAAGAAGAAGAAGAAGAAGAAGAAGAAGAAAGAAGAAGAAGAAGAATGGTGATCTGAAGAAATGGGAGAAGATAGTTAAGAATAAGAAAAAAGAAGGTGGAAAAAAATTTTTTGAAGGAAAATAAATTGGTGAAAGGAAAAACAAATAATGGAAAGTTGGTAAACAAGAATAAGAAATAAAGAAAAATATAAAAGCAAAAAACATATATAAAAAGACGTTAAAATTTGTGTATTGGGCAAATGTAGAAATTAGTTTATAAACGAAAGCTGTTCATTATTTTTTTCTTATTTCAGAGCTGAAAATATACAATTTCCATAATGTCCGAGATCGATATTCATTCCTAAATAAAATTAATGACGATTAACAATGCGGATTTTCCAAGCATGTAGACTGACTCACTTCCTTCGAGAGATTGACGTTACCCAATCTTCTCCACTTTATTCCAATTTAGACTACAACTCATCTTAGAAAATAGCAAAAGCCAGCATTTGAATGCGGATTTTCTCATACGTAAGGCCCTTCTCATATGATAGATTGGCGTAACACAATCTTCTTTTCCGCATGCTTTCTTATTTTGGTTTATGCCGTACTACGCTAATCTGAGTAAGTAACGAAGCTAGATTTGTTTTTACGCTGAATATCCTGGTCATGGAACTCGAGCAACTTACTTGCTACCTATATTTTATGGTGAAAGCACGTGTAACGACATTGGTCGGAATAGGAGAAGTAATTGTAACTTGAGAGGGAGCGAGGAAGGAAGAGACGAGAGAAATGGAAAGAGAAAGCGAGACAAAGAATGAGTAAACAAAAGAAAGTAACGGAGATAGAAGAGAGAGAGAGAGAGAGAGAGAGAGAGGAGTTAGAAAGATTATAAAAGATTATAAAAAGATAGTACGAATGAAAATGTGTGTTGCCGTGAGAATGAGAAAGAAAGTAAAAGGAGAGATTGTAAAAGAAAAAGAATAAATGAAACAGATAAAGTGTTAGAAAGAAAGACTATAAAAGAAAATGAGAACGAGAAAAAGAGAAAGCGAAAGAGGAACAACAATTCATTTACTGATTCTGTTGCTAAAGGGAGAAATGGAGGGAGTGGCAGATAGAGACAGTGAGGGAGGGTATCGAAACAAATGATGATATTTGGGGAGGAAAACAATAAAGAGAAAGAGATAAAATATGAGAGGGGAAAACATTCTGATTTCTAACGTAAGAAAATAAGCGAGTGGCAAAATAGTGAGAGAAGGAGAGAGGGAGTCAATGTGTGGGATTGAGAGTGAGAGTTAGAGTGAGAGAGAGAAAGAAAGAGAGAGAGTGAGAGAGAGAGAGAAAAAATGCAATATTTTCAGAATTCCTTTTGTAATTTATTTACAGAAATATCCAGGTGTACAGTGTAAGGAACAGAGAGAGAAAGAAAGAAAGAGAGAGAGAGAGAGAGAGAGAGAGAGAGACGGAGAGAGAGAGAGACGGAGAGAGAGAGAAGGGAAAGAGAAGAAAAAGTGAGAAAGAACAATAAAGCTGAGAAAAGATAGAGAGGGGCATGTTTAAGAGTGAAAGAAAGAAAGAAAGAAAGAAAGAAACAAAGTAAGGAGCAAAGAAATGGAGAAAGAAATAAACCAATTTTTGAACGCTTCTTTACAACCAAAAAAAGTCAGTCGGTATATATGAGAAAGAAAAAAGAGCAAATTGAAGATGAAATAAATAAATAAAGAGAGAGAGAGAGAGAGAGAGAGAAGAGTACACGAAAACAATAATTAGAAAAAGGACGAGTGATAAGCAAGAAGAGAAAGAGAGGAGTGTGTTTTTACTCGTACAATGACGCCATGTTCGGTTTCTATACAAGAAGTTTGACGATGCCTCGCGTCATGAATAGCTTGCTAACGTTTGGTCTCTTCTGAGCCATGAGATATTTTCTTCGGTCGTTATTTGTTTGCTAGTGAATGGAAGCGTAAAGAGGAGGATAATTTTCTATTCTCTCCTTTAAGGAGATAATAGCACTTGGCAATAGGAAACCAATTATTTTAAGACTTGGACGCCTTGTTTTGAAAAGAATCGCCTACCAAACTAAATATGGACCTAAAATATGTGGACTAGAACTATCTATCTATGAGGTCCATTCATTCATCTATCTATCTATTCATCTTACGCCTGTTCCATTCATTCATCTATCTATCTATCCTATGTATTATCTAAATTCTCATCTATATTATCGCATTCATCTAATCGACTAAATATCTATCTAGATTGTTCTTATCTATCATCTATTCATTCATCTATCTATCTATCTATCAGCCTGGATGTATCATTTGTTCTATTCTATCTTTCCATTCATCTATTCATCTATCTATCTATAAGCCTGTTCTCATCTATCTATCTATATATCTATCTATCTATCTATCTATATCTATTCATATATCTATCTATAAGCCTGTTCTCATCTATCTATCTATCTATCTATCTATTCTAGCACTGTTCTCATCTATCTATCTATCTATCAGCCTGTTCTCTATTCATCTATCTCGGTCCATTCATCTATTCATCTATCTATCCATCTATCTATCCATTCATTCATCTATCTAGACATGTTCTTCATTTTTATTTCTCTGTGTATCTGTCTGTCTATTGATGTTTTAGGTGTAGTTGGGTTTACCATAACTGTAGAAACGTCGATGACATTTAACTTCTGAAAACACGCTGTGAGTTGTCGCTGATGCAGTTGCTGTGCTACTGATAGCTCCTCTGGTTGCTTTCAAAAGCTAAATCCTAAAGCGCAATTTACTACTCACATGGGACAGAGAAATCTATCACCACCCTGAGTTATACGCTTTTACCATTCCCAATGTCCCACTTCAGGCGCACGGAAGAGTTGCTTTTGAACTTTGAAACGTCTTGCTTGCAGCTTTGGCGTCACACTGAAGGGTCGGAAGCTATGATAGTTTCGGGGTATCTCTCATTCTTTCAGGATGGTATTAATCTGATTTCATATCAATAACCCTAGCCTGCAGAGGGGTACAGGCCTTCAACATCTTCTCAGTCGAATATCGATCTAGAATTCCTTTTGACATGTCCTACCTAAAGTATTTGCCGCTAGAAAATCATCAGCTCGTCAATAACGGACTATTAGTTTAGCCATACAGGTAGAAATAATATAGTCAGTGTAACTTTCTTCGTTATAGATGTCATTACGCATTTACTTGTAGCACTTTTAGTAAATTTAAAAACGCCAATTTGAAATTTTAAAAGCTAATTGTTGCAACCAAGTAAATGGTTAAGAAATAACAGAACAAGCGGTTGCAAATAAATCGTGTATTGAAGAGAAAATGCATCAGAAGAGTGTTACGCGACTTGGGAATGTGTGTCGATTGACCAGCGTTCAGTCTATATCACTATTAATATTTAACCACTCCCCCCCCTGAGGGATGTATGTGACAAAAAGCCTAGTTTACCGTGGGTTCTCCGAGCCCCGTAGGCTCGGCTAAAAATATTCCTGTAGAACTCGCATAAACGGGTTCGGGCCCGTCTATCTCCCCAGACAGCAAAGCCTTCAGCAAAGCCTCGTCCGGGTTCCTCTCTGCGAAAGACAGAGAGTTCGACAGTAACGTACAGGCGATATCATTGTTCCTCCGAGGCTTACTCTCCTACTTATTTTGTGGAACAGTCCACAATAGACTCATTAGAGGTAGGACGCCACAACACTAATTTAAAAATCCGATATTAGAATCCTGTATAGTAGAAAATATACATATTTATGAAAGCACGGTACATTTATATAAAAGAATTTTGTCCTTAACTTGAGACTAGTTTTTCAAGTTCTGATATTTGTGATTATATATCTAAGCTATATTATGATCCATAATATAGTTTAAATTGGGAATTGTCCGCGTATATTGAGTACCCAATGAGGATTGAACTGATTCTTCAACTATAACTGTAATGCAAGACAAGCTTGCTAACGACAGCATATAAATGCCATTCTCCGCCATATTAATTTATTATCAAGCGAATATTCTTTGATATGGTAATGGTAAAATTGAATAACGATACTAAATTAGAAATGGGCGTGAGACAAGAATGCCTCTTCTCGCCAGATATATTCAACCTCTACAACGACGCTGTCCTAAGGGGACTGGAAACACTACCAGAAATCATTTTCAGGTGTATGTAAACTTAACATTACACGATACGCAGATACCGCTGCGTTTATGACCGGCTCAAAAGTAAAAGACAGGACCTCCTAGACAGAGTGATAGAAGAAAGAGAGAACAAAAGACTAACTATCAACAGCAAGAGAAAAAGCCCAAGACGCGAGTTACGAAGTGGAGATAGAAACATCAAGTAGGCGCAGTAGTTCAAATATCTGGGAAGTGTTTTAACAGAGGATGGAAAATACGACAACGAGATCCGAACGCGCATTGGACTAGCGAAAGAAGCATTCCAAAATCTAAGCAAGATACTGGGAAATGAAAAAAATGTCGTAAGAAGCAAATAAAAAAGAGCTTTTGAATTGCACTGTGATGTTGATCCTCTTATATGGCAGTGAATATTGGACAATCACGCGACGGATGAGGAAAAACTGGAGGTAACAGAAATAAGATTTCTATAGAAAGATACTGAAAATTTCATGAACGGAGCGAGTATGCAACAAGGAAGTCTTAAACAGAAGATTAACAGAAAAAGCATTTCTACATAGAATCAGGAAAAGACAACTGAAATTCCTTGTTCACATGATGAGGAAGTAAATCTTGGAAAAGTTAACATTCACGAGGCGTGAGGGCAATAGAGATAGAGAAACACGTGTGAGTAGATGGTGGAACCGGATGTTAAGGAGCTTAGGAAATAGAAAAAAAAATGCTCAGGATCACATTGTATAGGACACTATGGAGATATGATCGCTTACGTACTGAATAGGGTCGCTAGGTGGAAGAAGAATAAAAATGGTAATATTAGCCGTTTCCATGTAAGTCAACATTTGACGTTTATTGACAAAGCAGCCCTTGTTATTTTCGTTTTAAATTTTTAAATATTTCTGTTAAGACAGATTTCCATGAAAATTGCTTTCTTACTCATGCTAACTGCAATTGCCTTTTCCAGTATTGATTGTGCTTTCTTTCCTAGCATTTTAGGGTATAAGAGAAATAACGAAAAGACAATGTTTATTAAGAGCTTAAAAGGTCACTAAGGTACAAAGAAGAAGAAGAAGAAGAAGAAAGAGGAGCAGAAGAAGAAGAAGAAGAAGAAGAAGAAGAAGAAGAAGAAGAAAGAGGAGCAGGAGAAGAAGAAGGAGGAGGAGGGGAAGAAAAATGTGTGAAACATCAACACCTTGATTATGTCATTTGTTATCCATTTTAGTTGCTGTTGTTGTTGTTGAAAGTCCTCAAGTGTTGTTTAAACTATTCGGTATGGTTCTTTCTTTGTGATACTGTAGCGCCAATTTACAAAGATCGAAGAAGTATTGTCCTTGCTAAGACCAAAAGGCTTAATTGACTAAAAGCCATTTCATTCATAGACATGAGAAAGCTGTTGTATACAAGCCTAGGCTGTTTAAAAGGATGTCTCAAGCTTTAGGTTGGTGTTTTGGTTCTGTAGCAATTTGCGGTATTCAGGGAAACTACCTCAATCTCTTCAATTTCCTTATGTTCTATGCTAAATGTGTTATAACCGATCCATAATCTCCAACGTACATCAAGTAGTGAGTATTTACTAATTCCACATCCTGAAATTGGATTCACGGTAGATTCCATCATCTCTTTCATTCCAATTCCAGATCATAGTTTCTGTTTTGGATAGATTTATCTTGATTCCTATTTATTGGAGCATTTAGTAGACGATGTTGATTGTAGTTTGTTTGTTCAAGATGTTTCTTATCCCAAATATCAATACCATTAACACCGGCATCAAGTTTAATTAAATGACACTGTTATCATTATAGTTAATAGGAATAAAGATCCAAATAAATTTGATAAATTTAAACGAAATATCAGGAAATATTCCACTAACACGACTCAGCCTATTCTCTTCGAAAATAGAAATCTTAGAATTTACAAAATAAATTGGCCAAAATAAATCAAGAAATTCAGGGCTCTAAAACTCATCTCTCACTCACATGGGACATTTGCAAATGATGTAACGTTTTATTCAATGTATAATAAGTACATTTGTATTTTTTTTACAAATAAAAATAAAAGCCGAGGCGATAGAAACGCCTCAACCTCATTGTATAATGCGCAAAAGGTTTGTTTTATAAATCGAAAGAGCCTTTTGGAATTTAATTTGCTTTTGTAAAAGAAAAAAAATGTAATGTGTTTTATACTCCGAGAAATTTTGTAAGAATTTCGCGAATATCTGTCAATATCATTCTTTCTTTAGACCAGTGTTTCTCAACTGGTTCACCTGAAAAATTACTGCGCCCTGAAAAGTAGCCAAATGCGACCCAAGCTAACAGAAATATGTATTTGTATTTTTTTTTTACACTGACTTGCAGCTTGTAAATGGTCCAGGGGACATTAGGGTTACAGTAAGAGACAGTATATGCAGATAGTGGGGAAGACAACTGTTAACCCTAGATTTGAACAGATTAAGATTAGCATTTAAAAAATCATTATTTTAAAAGCTAGAGACTTCTATATCTAAGTCTTTGTTATTTGGTATTTTAAACTGGAGATTAATTTCAAATTGCATGACTAATTTTTCCTTATTAACATTGAAAGTTCGTCCTAGACAATTAGTTATTCTACAAGTGTGCCCTCAAGTAAAAAAAAAAGTTTGAGAAACACTGCTTTAGACAATTGACTATCGGTTGGTTTCTATGGTATATACTTGATTCAGTTTATATGGCCATTATGAAAATCATATCAATCACACTCCAGATACGTTCGGACGCCGCAGGCCATCATTGCGAAATTATATTCACAAGCGGTAAATCGACACAAGTGTTTGATATAACGCGTCAAATTTAACGATTTTAATAGCAATATTTTATCCAAGATTACTTATAAAGTTTCTTCTTCGAAAAAAACGAGAAAGACTGGTTAATATTAAAATATTAAAATTAAGACTAGAAAACTTTTCAAACTCTTACATTAAAGTATACTCTGCTACATGGCTTCTGTATTGAGATATCTAGAGAAAATCTAACTTACTCTACAAATAAGTTGATCTCCTAAGCATTAGATAATGGCATAACCTCAAACACATTTCAAATAGGGAAGGTGCACCTCGGCTTGGTTAATGTTTAGAAAGCTTGTCACGCGAGATCAATTACGACAGATTAGTGAGTTCGATCCTTAACGGCAGCTCAATATTTTCGGCCTTGTGTCGCATTTATGCTACGCTTAGTAAATCATTTATGGTCCTTGACGTGGTGTAATGATTTGCAAGTTGTCTCGATAGATCAATTACTACTGAGTAGTGAGCTCGATCCTCAGTGATTGTCCCATATATAAGGCCTTGTGCCACATCTAAGCTACGCTTGGAAAATCACTATAAGGCCTTGAGTCACAACTAAGTTACGCTTAGCAATTCACCATATATAATATGGAAGGTGTACTTCAGTGTGGCATAATGGTTAGCAAGCTTGTCCCGCTAGATCAATAACAACTGAAGAGTGAGTTCGATCCTCATTGAAATTTCTATACATTCGGCCTTTTGCAGCATCTAAATTTCGCTAAGTAAATCATTTGTGTCCTTTGCCGTGGTTTAATGTTTAGCAGGCTTGTCTTGTTAGATCAAATACGACTGAGTAGTTACTTCAATCCTTACTGGGTGCCCATGCCTTCGGCCTTGTGCCATATCGAGTATGGAATAATTGGCGTTGATAATGGATAAAATTACCTTTAATTTGAAATAAAAAAAATTAGAAACGAAGGGTAAGCTTATCCAGTTCGCCGTGAATACTGAGTAATTAACTTGATCCAAAGTAAGCGCCTTACATGCGTGACATGTTGCGGTAACTCAGCAAAGCTTTGTAAATGACAATAGATAGAAACGATGTCAGTTCTGGGAAGATCCGGAACTGCCAAGTCTCCAGCATTTGATGGAGACACAGCGATTTTGGTTTTTGTTATCGTCTCTCCAGCACTTATCTCTCTCACCAGCTGTCTGTTTATCTATCCGTACATCAATCTGTCTGCTCTTAATCTATCTAATTTTCTTTTTATGTATACATCTAACTCACTTGATCTATCTATCTATCTATCTATCTATCTATCTATCTATCTATCTATCTATCTATCTATGGCTGGGTTTTTGAGCAGACTTGCATTGTTAAAGAAGTTGATAACGCCAGATGATGCTCGCTCTACCAGAAACTGTAACTAAGATCAGCTCAAGATAGTTAAAGTATAAACCACAGATTGTTTTTTGCGGATTTTGAACAAACACAAATTTGCCCGAGTAGGCGTCTGCAACAGGGATTTGGTAGCCACCTGTAGAGCCTGGAAAATGATTAGCTACCCATTATCTATCTATGTTTGTTTTTATCTATCTATCTATCTATCTATCTATCTATCTATCTATCTATCTATCTATCTATAAGCCTGTTCTTATCTATCTATCTATCTCTAAGCCTATTCTCATCTATCTATCTATCTATCTATCTATCTATCTATCTATCTATCTATCTATCTATCTATCTATCGCTTCATATATTGGCTTCTGTTGCATATTTCTTGTCTGTTCTATTTGGCCAATAGGAAAAAGATATCAATTACAGGCTCCGACCCATTCTGAAGCTGCGGGCTATCAGCGCGAAATAATAACCATAAACGCTAAATGGAATCGGGCTTGTCGCTTATTTATCGTGGCTGGAACCGATTCCTGCAATGGCTCATTGATTTTGGAATATTTCACGATCTTCGAGACAGCTAGAGATTAGTCTCGAACGGAACATTAATGCGAACGTTTTAGGATTTCAGGAATTCTCATATTGCAATGCACTTCATGGATATGCGTGTGGTGTAATTGATTGCGACTCAGAATGAAAAAAAGTAAAGACTCGAGTTCGAATTCTAGCCCGGTTCGTTACATTTATTTACGAACAAATACCATTGAGAAAGCTGTGGATCCATCTTTTCTACCTCAATGATGTTTTAAATGGCAGGATGGACTCAGTAGCACATTATATTCAGATCGAATGCTGAAATAGAAAGAAATAATTAAAATAATTTCAAAGCTCATTAAAGAGCTGTTATTAAAATAATTTTTTATACATTTTTACAGTGAAAATAATAAATATATACTTAAGTATTACCATTAAAATAATTTGCTATATGTTTCTACAATGAAGATGCCATGTAGACTTATAGTATTTCTTGTTTCACTAAAGTGAATGAAAATTTAGAAGTATGTTTTTAAAAAGGTCCTATTCAATAATTTGCTATACATTTTTCAGTGACATTTATCTTTATGCTTTTACTGTTTGGTGTTTGCAAGTTATGAATGAATATTTTAAAATAGGCGTTTATTAAATCCCGGACTATTACTGAAATAATTTGCTTAATATGTTTCCTCAATGAATATATATATTATTAAATATTTATTGTTTCACTACTTACAGTAAACTGCTTGCATATAGAGAGAAAATGAATTCAGTAAATATACAAAAATCGAAAAGGATGTGAGAAAAGTATGTAAAAGGATGTATATTTTCTCATCGGATTTATTCAATCTATACAGTGACGGGATCCTGAGTGAATTAGAAGTCCTCCAAAGATTCATTATTAGATTGATATGCAGATGAAACAGTGTTGAGAACAGACAGAAAAAAAGGAAGTAAAACAAATTCTACAGAGGATAGTGAGAGAAAGTAAGAAGAAAGAACTAAACATCATTTTCAAGAAGACAGACCGCGTGGTTATTAGCAAAAGTATGCAAGTTACAACTTGATAACAAAATCAAGACGAACACTTTAAATATCTGGAATGTGCTTGGAGGGAGGACGGAAAGTGCGTGATTTAAATCCGTAGCCTTTTCCGATATTTTTTGAGAATGGGTTGAAAGTTAAAGATTTATATGCTTTTAGGTGTTTTACTTTCAATCCATTCTGAAAATTTGGATAAGGATTTACCATAAATTAATTTAAGAAAAAGCTATTTGAATCTTTTGCTTGAAAATAAAATGAGCATTTATCTTAAATTCAAAACAGAAAAGATGGAAGAATATATAAATAACTTTCGACATGAAGTATGAATTATAAAGAAAGGATGTAATCAAATCTAGTTTCAATGAAACGGTTTTCCTTTTGTCATATATATATATATATATATATATATATATATATATATGGGGGTATTTGTGTGTAAGTAAATTTCCGCCCTTACTTAACGCTAGCTGAGAAGATAAGCGTGGTAATATGAAAACTAAATGGAAAACGAAGCTGTCGACTGCAACCCAATTTCATCCTCACCCCGTTTCAAAACTGCACCAGGCTCGTTGTTCAACTTCTGACTTGATCTGAGGACATAAGACACGCTAAAGACGGATCGAACAGAATGTGGCTGACCCCATCTGACAAAACCGTGCCACGCCGGACAAAGCGGGAATGAGAAATGGCGGGAAAGTGGTAGAATGGCAAACGCCAACAACCAATAGGAAGTCAGCTAACATCCTCCCTCTCTTTCCCCATCTCTCTCTCTCTCTCTCTCTATATATATATATATATATATATATATATATATGTGTGTGTGTATGTGTGTGTGTGTGTATATATCTTTCTCCTTCTGTCTGTCTCTGCCAGAAACACCGATAAATTACAATTACACGAATACACACAAAAATAAACACACACACACACACATATATATGTATATATATATATATATAGGGAAGGAGAGAGAAAGCGCGAACGATAGAGAAATAAAGATGTAATGCGCTTTCTCATGTGATATATGTAACGTATCATAATTGCTTTGCCTTTCACATTATGGACATCGCGATTATGGCGAATCCAGTACGCTCCACTTAACATGCCATTGGCGATAGAAGGGTCTGTATAAAAGCACGCTAACAAGAACAACAATAAGATTAACACCAAAATAGTCGTTTGCTTTATCTCTCTCTCTCTCTTTCTCTCTTTCTCTTTCTCTTATTCTATATCTCTCTCTATGTCTTAAGTTTTCCTTCTCATTATTTGTCTTTCTGTCAATCCTTCTCACTCTCTATTACATTATATCTAACGCTGAATTTCTGCACAGACAGAAATTCGGATTTTATCAGATCATTCATACGATCGCGTTAATTCATTCACTGGACCAAAGTGAATGGCATTTGTGTTTAAGTAATTGCAGGATGCAATATTGTTTATAGGAATATATATATATATATATATATATATATATATATATATATATATATATATATATATATATATACTATCTATCTATCTATCTATCTATCTATCTATCTATCTATCTATATATATATATATATATATATATATATACACACATATATATATGTATGTGTGTGTGTCGCTATAGATCGGTCGTTGTTGCTCTATAGAAAATCAAAGATGTAATTCCAAGTATGAACAGTTCCAGACGTGTCTGATCTGCCGAAAAGCAATTCCTATTTTTAAAATCACGCCACACAGATCAGAAAGGTTTTCAAGATGTGTCTGATCATTGCAAAAGTAGTTTATTTTTTTTCAGAATTATTCTTCTGAAATCGAGAAACGTTTAAATAGTCGTGTTTGATATGCTGAAAATTGAGTTCTTTTTCAGAACACGATCACAGAAATTTATACATTCTGTAGAAAATAACATTTTATTTCAAAATTGATGAATTGAATTCTGGAGAGTTTTTTTCAAAAATGTTCCAGTGGAATGAGTAACGTCATTTGGGCATAACGGCTCAGTGGCAATCAAATCGTGACTGCATGAAATTGCATGTCTGTAACTACGAACGTTTACAAGATGTATCTGACCTGTGGAATATCAAGTATTCATTTAAAATTGTTCTACTGAGACACTTTCAAGATGTGTCTGACCTGTGGAATATCAAGTATTCATTTAAAATTATTCCACTGAGACACTTTCAAGATGTGTCTCACCTGTGGAATATCAAATATTCATTCAAAATTGGTCTACTGAGACACTTTCAAGATGTGTCTGACCTGTGGAATATCAAATATTCATTCAAAATTGGTCCACTGAGACACTTTCAAGATGTGTCTGACCTGTGGAATATCAAGTATTCATTCAAAATTGGTCTACTGAGACACTTTCAAGATGTTTCTAGCCCGAGGAATATCAAATATTCCTCCTAAATTGTTGATGATTGTGTTGTGAAAGGCAGATGTTTTCTAATGGCGAGAGGAACATTTTATATATATATATATATATATATATATATATATATATATATATATATATATATATATATATATATGTGTGTGTGTGTGTTTTGTGTGTGTGTGTGTCTGTATGTGTTTGACGTATTTGTTTTGTGTGTGGCCTCTTGCCATAACCTAAACACAAATGCCATCCACTTTGACCCAGGGTATGATTTATCGCGGTCGTATGAACGATGTAACGCAATGAAGATTTCAGATATATATATATATATATATATATATATATATATATATATAGTCTCCTCCAAAAGTATTGAAACGACAAGACGAATCTCTTTTTTGTTGTTCGCTGAAGATATTTGAGTTTAAGCTTAAAAGAGGAATATAAGACAAGAGTTCCTAATTTCAACTTTTATTTCTCGGTATTTACATTTAGTTGTGTTAAATAGCTTAGGACATACCATTTGTATCTGATGACCGCATTTGTAGCAAAAGTAAAGGAACAGGTAATCTTAAAGTTAATAATATTTAATATTTGGTGGCATAACATTTGCTAGCAATAACAGCATCAGGCCAGCGACCCACTGACATCTTCATTTGCGATGCTTTGTTAGACTTTTAACGCAGCCTCTTTTACTTCTTGTTTGTTTCGTGGGGGGGTCTTTCTTCTGTCTCCTCTTCATGAAATGAAATGCATGCTCTACTGGGTTATGGTCCGGTGATTGACTTGACCAGTATAAAACTGTCCATTTCTTTTCCCCTGATGAAGTTCTTACTTGTGTTGATAATATATATTAATGTCTTACTGCATGATAAACTTCCAGCCGATTTGTTTGGTTGAATTTGTTTGTAAATTGGCAGACAATATTCCAGAACTTTTGTCGTTCATCTCTGTACTTCCCAGTCTTTCTGCTGATGAGTCGCTTGCAACTTTTGGTATGGCCTGTATATTTCTCCTGTCAGAATCTTTTTCGAATGGGGGATTGTGAAACCTTCACCCTAGCACTGTAGAAGGTTTTTGGTGATGTCAATGATTGTTGTTTTGAGGTTTTTCCTCACAGCTCTAGTAATATTTCTGTCATCAACTGCTGATGTTTTCCTAGACCGACCTGTTCTATATCTATTATTCACTAAACCAGTAGTTTCTTTCGTTTCCAGGACATTCCAAATTGTTGTGTTGGATATGCTAAATGTTTGTCTAATGGTGATGGTCAATTTTCCTTCTTTTCTCAGCTTAAAATGGCTTTGCTTTTCTTCCATAGAAGGCACTCTCGTCTTCATGATTGTTTATCCTTTTTAATAAGAAATATATACTTTACAGGTGAAAGACAAGGCTAAATCCAAGAGTCGTGATTCAAAGTTATTTAATGCTTAAACATTCAATATAAAAGACAACACGTTGGCAACAGGAATCACTCTCAGTCATGTATTCCAGTAGTTTTGCTCACTTGAAAAATTGGTTGGTTCAGACAAACGATGCTATGTTCTACGTTGTTTAACACATCTAAATGTAAATAACTGGAAATGAAAGCTGAAATTCTGAACTCTTATACCATTTTCATCTTTGGACCTTAAACCCAAAT